ATGTGCTTATTTCAAGAGGCAACTGGACTTCCTTGCTTTTCTTTGAAGACATTTCGCTCCTCGGGTGAGAAGCAAAACATCTCCAAAGAAAAACCAGAAAGTCCAGCTGCCTCTTGAAAAAAAAAAAGCACCTTTGGGATTGCAGTCACATGACGTCTCACTTTACAACCACATCGCGTAGTGGTGGAGTTGCCTTGACCCATTTATCATTAAGTGTGAATTACCTGTAGGTCTCCCTTCCTCCTCTCAGATGTCTCTGTGTATATAGCAGATGCTGGCACATACTGAATGACTACAAAGGTACAACAGTCGGTTTGTTTTGTTCAGCTGTCCAGTAAGATCAACTACAGTAGAAGAAATAGTGAACAATTGGAACTTGGCCCAGGGCCCTGTTATATATTTTAAGACAGGGGATAAACAGTGCGACGCCTTCCAGACAGTTTTTCACTGTAATGTCTGCAGCCTCTTAGTGGCTGAAAGTGACTTGAGTTAAAAGTTCAAAACAGGGCAGAGGCTATGCGTTGAAAAGAGCCTTTTACCACAAATTCATACCGCAGTCTTCCCCATCTTCCTATATAATTATATCCTTAGGATCTCCTTTTGAATGAGCTGCTGATTAACATTGCTATGCACATCATTGGTTTTTAGGCTGGCCATCATTCAGTGGTGGCCAGTCTAAAAGAGAGCAGACTGCTTTTTTAGAAAATCATTTCAGCCAGACCCATTTGCTGTATATGGATTACCTCCTGGTGTATTACAGAGCTTTACAATATCCTGCAGTGTGGTAACTCATCAGCAATAAAAAATACTTCCACCCTCTGTAGATTTGCAGAATGTAAAAGTGGCTCAGAGGTCCAGGAGACGAGGGTGCCCTTTTGGGAGCCCAGGAGAAAAACATGTCCTTTTGGGGGGGTCCCTTATTGGTGTGATGATCCAGAATTGCATGCTACAGTGGCAAAAAGAAAGCATTTCTATGATGTCTGCTGAGCTGCTTTGACCAATGAAAAGGTATCACTGAGGCTAACTTGCATGAAGTCTTCAGGTAGGGTCAGATGGTCAATGGAAAGTAGCTGTGGCTTAAGAAGCAACCAAGAGATCAGGAAGTTTCAGTCATAGTCATAGGAAGAAAGTCCTTAACCTCAGCCTAAGGAGCCTATTCTGAACAATTGAGCTATTCTGACATAGCTTTCAAAAATGCCTTTAAATGGGTGCCCAGGTTTTAAAATTCTTTCGGATCAAGAAGACACAGCATTGGCTGGGGAGTCTTAGTACTGCAGCAGAACTGAAGAAGAAAGATGGGTGTGGCGGAGGTGTAGTTTTCAGTGTTGCAGAAAGTATATCAAAGTGATAAACGAGAAAAGGCAACAGTCCGATACTTGCTCAGGGCTGAAGCATTGCAAGAGAGATTTGTGGACGGTCCTAAAATATTCAAAGGCAGATTGGGCAGAAACCTGTGCAGTGCACATTGAGTACCATAGTTTTCCATCTATTTCAGGAAGCCTTCCAGATGTTCTTAAACTTTATCATGTTCATCATAGCAACTCACTGACCGTGGTTTTTGGGGAGCCGATTAGAGTCAAACGGCACCCATAGTTCCCCATGTTATCTGCCGTTAATCTAGACCATTTCTCAGTAGTCCATAAAACTTCTAGGAGGTATGATACATGACAACGATAAAACGGTTTCATTTTCCAAGAAGAACCTTCTAATTTGCAGTCCTGTGTGGAGGCTGGGATTTTGAGCTCGGAACTTCACTCTCGTTAACGAATTAGAAATCCCAGAATTTTTATGGGTTGACAAGCCCTAGCAGTTAATATGACCTAATCGACATTTTTTAATGTCAAAGTACTCTTATGATATACTTAGTTTAGGGGATTTGTTTTCTTCATGGCTAATCTGCACATTCCAGGGAAAGGAATTTTCCATGCCAATGAACGTTGAGAAAAGGCACCTCCTAAGCATGGAAACCTTACCATGAGCTAGGCCTCCTGCTTTTGTGCTCAGTGTAATGTATCAACTAGGTGTAATGCCCTGCAGTTTAAACACAAAGAACACGATGCTAGACGTACAGCTACACAATATGAAACTGCCCATCGAGAGGACATTGGGCGAGGGGACGGGAAAGGCAGTGTAGCAAGGTCCTCCCTGGTTGAATTCTCAGTGCCCAGGAATAATGGCGCACAGGCATGACAGCTTCACAGCCTTAACGGGGTCCAAAGAGTTCTGCCCCACGGATTGGTCTTGCCCCTCCACGCCATTCACCCCCTTCTACACCTAGCGCGGCTCCCATCAGGTGGAAGAACTGAGGGTCAGGAGGTGAAGTAGGAGTTTTGCATGGAGTACAGCCTGTCGATAGGGTTGCCCACTCGAGTTTGCAGGAGGTTGGCCTCAGCCGCAGACAGCAGGCAGTCACCCAAATGGCCAATCGTGTCACTGTCCATGTCATGGAAAACACCTTCTGAATCTAAATTGGGAAGAAAAGGAAGATGAAAGTTCTCAAGCTAGAATAAATCAAACCCCCACTCTGGGAGAGAAACATGACTGGTTAGAAAATATAATCACCCTCCGATTCTTGTAGCTCTTCAATTAGTATGGCATCATGGAGTCTTCTGGTTTGTAATTCTTTGCTCCAACTTAGTGATGGTTAAAGGAAAGGAACTAGCTAAACTAAACTAAAACTAGCTCCCCCCTTTCACTAAGAAAGTCGGTAGCTGCTACTATATTTCGCTGTTGATGGAGTTCACTCCATACAGGTGAACTAGTCAGAGCAAAAGATTGCCTTTGATAGTCACAGCTTCTGCCCCTCTTCCTCTCGTTTTCAAGGCCAATGCAAAAGCATCATTTTCAATGTCAGGTAAATGCTCACACACAATCATGTATAACATATGCATTACAATTCACTGCACAATAGATGTTCATAGAGAACCTCTGAAAGGAGGGGAAAAATAGAAACAGCCAATGGGACTGAGGGCTGCCTTTCTTTAAACGGAACCACATTTAAAATAATGCTGGCAAGACATAAAAGCACGATGCAAGTCTATCAGAACAAGGTGATACAGAGGTTGGATATCTGAAAGGGAGAAACTGAAGGGATTTGAGGAAGATGAGCTCACCATATGGATGAAGGTGGTCTCCTGGCAATTGGGGTGGGGTGAGTCCTTGCCGGTACAAGTCTGTGCTGTAGCTGTTTTGATCCAAGGGAAGCAGCTGCTGCTGGGCAATCCTGGAGTAGGGTACCATGAGCCCATCTATTCCATGCACACTGGCACTATCTATTGAGCAATTGTCAAAGCAATAGGAAAGAAGGTGATGCACAACATCACTAGGAGATGTTAACAACAATAATACTTTTTATAGAGAAGAACGAACAATGGTTGAAGCTACTTTCTCCAAGATCAGATGAGACTTATTGGGTAGATGTGCAAGTCTTATCACAGCATTGTTAAGCCTTATCACAGTAAGGAGATGGTGGACTAGAACTTTGCTCTTTGCTTTTCAGATAGTTCTTGACCTGCAATCATTCATTTAGTGACCGTTCAGAGTTACAATGGCACTGAAAAAAAGTGAAAAAAGGTCTTCGCACTTACAAACAACGCAGCATCTTCATAGTCATGTGATCAAAATTTGGACACTTGTATTTTCCCATGGAAGATTGAGATTGTCTTGGCAATGTTTCAGTGAGGTCTCACTCGCCATCTTCAGGCGGGATTTTGGGCTTAAAGTGTGATTGGAGCTTAAAGCCCAAAACCCAGCCTGAAGATGGCGAGTGAGACCTCACCGAAACGTTGCTAAAACAATCTCAATCTTACACGGGAAAAGACCCAAATACAACAAGACCAGCATATATAGATATAGATATAGATATAGATATAGATA